CGACGGCAGCAGCGGAAGTGGCAGCGACAGCATGGTCAGCTACGAATACTCGCCGTCCGAGCTCAGCTTCAACCCGGCCACGCAGCAGTCAGACAACAGCGATGCCGCCCAGAGGCCGGGTTCCAACGGCCGTCGTAGCGGTGTGCGCAACTCGCTGCTGGCTCACACGTCGTCGTCCCTGCCCAACAGCGAGATGGACGGCGCCGACGAGGTGCCGCCGGTACCGCCGCTGCCAGACCTCCGGGGTCTCTCGAGCAAGATTGGCGATCTACACTTCGACCTGCCAGCGAGCGGCACCGTGCACGACCAAGTGACCAAGCCCGCGAAGCGCAACATCAGCACGCGGAGCAGCGACAGCAGATACCAGTCGACACTCCGAGGAGAGGAGCCGCCAATGGACCTGCGGGATCTCCTGCAGGGCATCGACAGCCGAGCAGGGGAACACAGCCTAGGGAATGTGACACGGCCGCCCTACTGAGCTGAGCCGTAGGTGTTCTGTTGGGAAGGCAGGATGGTTTAGGGAGCGGAGAGGTCGTGGGGTTGGGCTCTCAACAACGTCATGTGAGGTGATCATCTCGGGCTGGCCACGTAATGGAGCTGCGGCGGGGTCAATGTGGCATTGGGGCAATCTCTGTAGTTTTACGTGGAGCGTGGGGTGGCGTACGAGTAGTCTCTAGCGCGGTGTTTCGCGAGCGATAAAAGTTGCTTCACTTGTTGAAATGTCTATCATGGTTATTCTAGATGTTATGTGGGTATGTGTGTGTGTGTGTGTGTATACACGGGTGGCCAGGCTTTAATTATAAGCCCGTGGCAGGGTGATGGTTACAAGGCAGAGAGCACTGGTCCATTCACAGCCTCGTGAGAGCCTGCAGGTCGAGCTGCTCCCCAGGCGCCAGGTGTTCGCCGAGGGCCGTCTCGAAAAGATGACACAAACGCACGAGGATGTCGGGCTCGCGCCGACCGCGCGCACGCCGCCACGCCTCGCACACGTCGTACACGCGGTCGAGCTCCTCGGCGAGCACAGCGCGCGGCCACTCGTCCGTGATGGCGTGGTTGTTGCCCGCGTCGGGCTCGTCCCCGGACGCCGTCTTGCTGGTGGCGGGGCTGAAGCGCGGCGTCTTGTCCTCGCGGTCCCAGAGGAAGTCGCCCTCGCAGCAGAGGGCGTGGATGAGGGCGGCATCGTGGCGGAAGGCGAATGACGAGGAAGCAGAAGCGGGAGAGGAGAGCGGCGGCGGGGGTGCTTGGACGGCGGCGCGGAGGCCGTGGAGCTTGAGCTCCCAGGATTGGGAGGCGTGGAAGCGGGCGCCGCCGCGGCGGAGCCAGCGCAGGAGGAGGGCGTCCTGCGGGGACCACGGGCCCGCGAGGAGGATGTCGGGGATGCGCATGTGTGGGTGGACGTCGCGGTAGAGCGGAGTCGGCCATTTTGCATCCGCGTCACCAGCGTCGTCATCGGCGAAGGCGAGGCGCGGCGCCGGGGCCGGGCGGCCGGCGGCGAAGCACCGTGCCCACTGGGTCTGGGCCTCGAGGAAGGTCGCGGCGTCGGCCCAACCACCGCCCCCGAGGGCGGACTGAAAGGCCGGGTTGCCCGGGTGGAGGCCCTCCTCGATGGCGCGGCAGCGGGCGCGCTCGGCGGCGGTCAGCGAGCGGGACCCAGTGGAAGCCGAGGGCGCGGCGGGTGTCGATGCCGTAGCCGGCGTGCCAGGTCGGGGCGAAGGCGGCGATGACGGCGCCGAGGAGGGTCGGGCGGCCGGAGAGGAGGCGGCCCAGCAGCGGGCTGCAGCGCGGGAAGGCGACGTTCTCGCTGAGGTAGAAGATGTGCTCGAGGATCTCGAGCGGCAGCTGGCGTTCGAGGAGGGACTTTTTCCGGGGCCGTCGATGCCGTAGGTGACGAGTCGGTTCTGACGAGGACGAGGCTTGTCTGTCGTAGGGGTGGACTCTGTGCTTCTTCTTCTGCTGGGCGGCGCTGTTGCGTTTGCCGCGGACCTTGAGCGGTGTGAGCGGCATGTTTGCTGCGTGAATTTGGTGGTGATGGTGATGTTGGTGAGAGATAGGGGTCAGGAGTGGGATGCTTGAGGGAGAGGATATATATGATTATCGCAGGGGAATATAAACAAGCCGCCCAGAAATCGATCGGGTTTCCATCCTTGTCATTCGATTGAGCTAGCTTGGGTGGATAAAGATGTTTCCTCAATGTTCAGTTTGAAGAAAAACGAAGATAAAATAGAGATTCGTCGAAGAGAATTCGGTAAGGACGGATGACATAGTTAGGCCGTCCTCTTCACCGGAAGCTCCACAGCTTGCTTCATGACCAAAGAAAGTAAAAAGCAGTCCTCTCCTGTATACACGACTGCCAGCTTCAAATGAGTCGAGCCGGCGAGGGCCAAGTTGGCAAAGACAAAGGGTGGCAAGTCAAAGATGAAGTTGAAGAAAGGCATCACGATGGACGATGATGATGACTCAGCAGAGCACATCCATCACCAGTCATAAGGTACATGTACCTGTCGAAGTACCCAAGTACTGACCAACGGCCATGTCCCCGAGCTCCAATTCCAGCTTCGCGACTTTTTTACACCATCCAATCCGTCAACTCCCGTCCCCGCGCCACGAACCATTTACTCACCAAAGGCGCCTCAACGACCCTCGCCGGTCGGCTGACGCAATGAGCTCAGCACTTCGAGGACCGGTGCCTTCCTTTCACCTGCTGCGCTTCTTGCGATCCCAGGCCGAACACGCCTCGACAGGCTCCCGATGCACCATCACATCATGCTCCAGACAGAGCTCGCCAACACCACGACGACCGCCAAGATGCCTCGCCAGGCTGGAGACCCGACGCCCGATTTCCACAGCATGTGGCCTTCTCGCCAGCCGGCCCCTGCGGTTACGAATACAAGCATCAGTACAGACACAGTCTACACAGATCAATGCCACGGCAGGCCTGCCAGCAGCGACATGCTTCAGCACAACAAGCACGCGCCGGGAGAAGCAGGTCGACGACGCTGGCAAGACCGAGAGGGCACCCTTGTGGAAGGAGAAGCTCTGGGGCGTCGGTGCCAGGCGTGGTGCCAAGCCGCTCCAGCCCACCGACCTACCGACCCACGACGAAGTTGGCGACGGCAGCTCCATGTTCAACTACCGCCGTATCCTCACGGCCAAGGCCGCCTCGGAACCCCGTCTGCGGTGTACCGAGGTGGACGAGGACGGCGAGGTCATCCTCCTCGACGGCGAGTTCAAAAAGACGGAGCTCATTGCCAAGGTGCGTCCTCTTGTCTCTCGACTACACTTCTCTTTCCCATGCGCCGACCCGACCTCCCCTTGGTGCAGACTTCGACTGACAGACGATAGTACGGCTTGCTGCCTCGCGATCTGCGCAAGATTGACTCCTCCAACCTTCCCCACATCCTCGTCCGCCCGTCGGCCATCCTCCTGAAACCTGCTCCACCTCAAGGTCCTTCATCAAGAAGGACGCGCCTCCTCTTTGACATTTACGGCTGCAAGACGTCGTACCCGCAGTCGGCCTTCATGTACGACCTCCAGGGCAAGCTCAAACAAAAGATCCCCCAGGGCGGCGGCGGCGTCGGTGCCGCCGCCGGCCTACCCTACGAGTTCCGCGCCCTCGAGGCCGTCCTGACCTCGGTCACGTCCGAGCTCGAGGCCGACTTTGAGGCTGTGCGCGACCCCGTCATCCGCATCCTCAGCGAGCTCGAGGACGACATTGACCGCCACAAGCTGCGCGTGCTGCTGATCCTGTCCAAGCGCGTCAGCACCTTTGAGCAAAAGGCCAAGCTCGTGCGCGACGCCATCGAGGAGCTGCTCGAGGCCGACGACGACCTCGCCGCCATGTACCTCACCGAAAAGGCCCACGACCTGTACCGCGGCGAGGACGACCACACCGAGGTCGAGCTGCTGCTCGAGTCGTACAACAAGCTGTGCGACGAGATTGTGCAGGAGGCGCAGAATCTTGTGTCGAGCATTCGCAACACCGAGGAGATGTAGGCCCCCCTTTTAGCTTATCGTTCGCTTGTTCGTCTCAACCCCCGGCATGGGCTAACCTGCACAGCATCCGCGCAATCCTGGACGCCAACCGCAACTCGCTCATGCTGCTCGAGCTCAAGTTCAGCATCGGCACGCTGGGCCTCGCCATGGGCACGTTCCTCGCGGGCCTCTACGGCATGAACCTCGAAAACTTCATCGAGGACACCAACTGGGGCATGGGCGCCGTGACGGGCGTCTCCGTCTTCTTCTCGCTCATCGTGTGCTGGTCCGGCCTCATCAAACTGCGCAAGGTCCAGCGCGTCAAGATGATGTACGATGAGCGCGGCGGCGGTGACCTCGGCGGCAGCCTCGGGTCGCGGCAGCACTGGTT